AATGGTTAGCGTGCGCGCGCTGTATCATAAAGTCTGTCATTGAGTCGGTCGGCGTGGTTTCGAATCCCCGGTTGTACGTGGCAAGGAGTAGGGTCGCCTGTCCAACCTCGTGGGTTTTCTCCGGGTTCTCCGGTTTCCTCACACTGCTAAAGACCCCTACGCGCAAAGCGAATTATGTAAATAAAATTAAACCATATGTTAGTCCCGAAATGACCTAGTTTGTGTCGAGTGGACGTTAAACCCCATTTCTCTCTCTCTCTCTCTCTCTCTCTCTCTCTCTCTCTTTCTTCTACTCAAGAGATCCCCCACGCGGAACATATCGGTAGACTTAAAGATACATTATGGGGGATTAGATAAAGAAATGGCAGTTCCCACTTATACTGGTTAAAAACTAGATAATGCAAAGGGAATTTGCGGGAAATTTCAGTCAAATTGATCTTCTCTGAACCGAGAATTTAGCGATTGAATTTTAGGTCTAGCCTCGATCATCATTACTAAAGTCAGTACGATATAAAAAAAAACATAGTCTCGATTATCCAGTTTTTGATTTAATCACCAATGAGCGTTGAGCAACAGATCGGATTTAAATCCGGTAAATATCACAAGCTATCGATGACACCGAGAGTTGATTATGGTCTAGATAAGTTAATTAATGTCTAATTAATAATTTACACAAAATTTCAGGCCTAAAGAAACACCTGCAACAGGTAGATTTAGCTCTTGCATAATGTATCTTTAAGGGAAAACTTCATTGGATAATTAATAAACTTGAAATTTATTTTTTGTGAAAATACCAAGATACGAAATTACAACTTATTTAGCTTTCAATCTATAAAATAACAATAGTATATCTGTAAAATGGCAGCCATTTGAAACGTGTGTCATCATGTGACGTAGTGTAACCATGGTTATGAAATATCGTATTAGGAAATGAAATGAAATGGGGTTGATTGTCCTACTGTTCTGCTCGTAAATTGAGCTAATGAAGACGGAATATCGTATTAGGAATTAAGCTGAAAACAAACTTATTTTTATTTTGAGTTAGTTGGAAAAGATTATCAAATCAATAAAGGATATGAATATATATCTATTTGTTGGCTCTTAGGCTGAGCAAAACATAACACACACAAAATATGAATTTTTATAAATTTTTGTATTAGTTTTGAAAATCAATAGACGACTATAAAACAAAATCAATGGAGCAGCACTTGAATCCATTTTCTTCAGTTCGTTCAACTTTGTCCTTAAGGTAAATAAAGATGTATTGTTCTGGTATTTAACTCCCAATAGACACCACAGCACAAAGATCGAGTTCTATTGTTTTAGACATTTTTTTATTATTATTATACCGGGTGACACAAAAAAAGCGTTCATCACCTAAACTTGAATAACGTGGTTCCAGCAGGATGGTGCCACCCCCACACCTCAAAACGAATCATTGGCATGGCTACAGCAGCGTTTCCCTGACCGACTGATCAGCCGCAGGTGTGACCCGGAGCGGTCGCTGCATTCACCGGACTTAAACGCCCCAGATTTTTATCTGTGGGGATACCTTAAGGACAGGGTGTATGGCAACAACCCCCAGACTATCCCTGATCTGAAGGCAGCAATCACATCAGCAATAAAAGCGATCCCAAGGGAAGAATGTGGGAGGGTCATCGAGAACTTTGCCCGCCGGATCTAAATGTGCTTGCAGCACCGGGGAGCTCATTTAGAGCACATTTTTTGAGCGCCAGTTAAACAAAGAGTTTTTGTGGTACAGACTTGAAACTTTGGAGATGTCTGCTACATAGACTTAACCTAATGACGCTGAATTTTTGTGTTAATCTAAATAACATTTTGGAAGTTATTCGATTTTTATTGATGAACGTTTTTTTTGTGTCACCCTGTACCTAAATAGGATTAACAATTCGTAGGTACTCATTCAGTGTGGGTGGGACGATTTACCCAATACTACCCAATACCACCCCATTACCACCTCAAAATCATCACATATTACCCAACACTACAACATAATGATGCAAAATGGACATATCATTTAATTTAACCTTGACGAAATATGCATTTGGCCTTGTCATTTTGGCCTTCTTCTGGGAGTGGCTTTAATCTATTACAAATACCTTATCAAACGGAAGACATGTGACTTTATGCATTGTTTAAAGGTCGAGAGCGAGACATTAAGTAATATGTTGTAGAAACAATACATTACGCAATGTCTTAAGCTCGAGACCATTAAACGACTTAAAATACAGACACCCCGAACGTGCTTTTACAGTCAAATACGTCACGCGAGTCCAATATTCCACTAGTATAAATAATGTACGATTGGCAAGTTGCCCGTACGATTATTTGAAATAGAGGTACGCCAACATCAAAGGGTGACGTCACATCTGTATTTTAATAAGAAATAATAAACGTGAGTCAGTGATTAGAGTCCCTTGAGTTTGTAGATGTCTTGGGTCGCTTAATGATAAAAATGTCATTGTTCCAGCTGATAAGGTTTCTAATAACACTGTGTTCATATGCATGAACGAGTTTTATTAGGTGGCCCAGGAGATAACAGTAGGCTACACAATTTAAAGGGCAATGTCTAATCAATAATCGAATTTCTTATTTCTTTTATGCTTATCTCTGTACATTTTGCCCGAATTGTATCCGGCAGTTCATTTATCGTAAATGGTTTTGTGAACCCCTCTTAGATCTTTATATTGAACTTGAATAGTGTACTATTTTTCTGGGCAACCCGATATAGTTGTGTTATCAAAAGTTTTTTTTTTTGTTTTTTTTTTTGTGGTCCCAGATACAGAACGGAAGGTTGCGGAGGACTTAACACAAAATCTGAAAAAATAAATCCCTTTAAAAACTGTAGCCTGTATCGCGTTATCGGTTGTCATTTAGTCAAGTGGGTAGTCCTGCGGTTTTCTCCCACTGCTAAAGATCCCTACGAGCAAGCGCATTATTGAAATAAAACTGAACCATATGTTAGTCCCGAAATGACTCCCCCCCCTCTCTCTCTCTCTCTCTCTCTCTTCTCTCTCTCTCACTCTCAGCCTTTGTTTAGCCCACCGACCCTAATAATTATTATTAGCGGTCGTCTATTACAACGTTACGGTATCTTCTAACGAACAGCGTGAAGGAATTTTGATGAACTTTTAGTAGGGCGTTGCACTTTTACACCTGGGATAAACTATTATCTTAAAGTAAAGGCTGGGTGCAAATCAATAAAGTTAGTGTTACAGAATGAAGTTGGTTTTTTTTTTGGTTTTTTTTTGGGGGGGGGGGGGGTCAAATTCATTATTAGTAATCCGTGTTTTTAATCCATTTTAAAACGAACCGGCCACTATTGGGTCAAATGAGGTCCGTGTAGGAACTGGGTTTTAAAATTTCAAGCTTCCATTCCCTTTAATATAACCAGAATTCCACAAAAATAATTCTTGGTCATTTGTTATGGAGAATGTGGTATTCTAATGTATCTGATTACCAAAAAATTGCTACCCTAGATCCATTTTGCTCACTATCCGATAGATTTGAAATAGGGGGTCACGTGGCTAAGTGGGTAAGACGCTAGCTCGCTAGCCTGGAGGTCGGGTGTTCGATCCCTGCATTGGCCGAGAAAGTTCATCCAGATTTTCCGGCGTGGTTCTCCCTTGTCAGTGATGCAGGATGGAGGGGCTGACAAGGAAAGCTGTCTAGTCGTTCGGATGGGACGAAAAACCGAGGTCCCGTGTACACATTGGCGTGCACGTAAAAGATCCCTTGACAGTTGGAATTCGATATAAGAGTAGGCCGTAGTGCCGCTGTCCGGGCAAAATTTCCCTCATAGCACACTGTATGGCGTATGCCCGTCTTCATTAGCCCAGGTTAGGAGCAGAACAGTAGGACGTTAAACTCCATTTCATTTCATTTCATTTCAGATTTGAAATATCTAAATCAACAATGCACTGTATATGCCGCAGAGTTTCTAACGAAAACAACTATTCAATGGCCATTACCCCACGAACGTCAAGACATTTCGGACTGTTTTGCTGAATCTTGTAAATTTCCCGGAACAATCGGAGCTACCGACGGCTGTTATATCCAAATTAAGGTGCCCAAGATGAAGGACATCGAATATTATACGTCACGATTCCACCAACATATCCCAGTTGACGCACTGACAGAAATGTGTCACTTGATTATAATTATTTCAATTCGAAACATTCCTGTTTATCAAGCACCCCTTACTTCCGTTAAACAGACGTCATCTTATTAATTTTAAAGTAATGATATAAAACTTTGACATGGATCAACCTAATTCGAGATACTCACTATTATTGCAAAGGCATTTTTTTAAAAAAAAAAAAACCCAAAAACTCCAAGTATCTCGGTTTTTTGTCCCATCCGAATGACTAGACAGCTGTCCTTGTCAGGCCCTCCGTTCTGCATTACTGACAACGGAGAACCACACCGGAAAATCTGGATGAACTTTCTCGGCCAATGCAGGGATCGAACACCCGACCTCCAGGCTATAGCGAGCGTTCAACCTAAACTGTTCCTGGCAGAATATGGTACCTTTTACTCCCTTGCGTGCTATTTTTTATACCCATTTACACTAAATAGGAAATATTTTTTTTATCCAAATATACTTAAACACTTTTATTTATTTTTCTAATACTTAAAAAAAAATGTTCTAGAATTTAATTTGGAGAAGGAAAGAGTTAATATTATGACAGTATCAATTTTGAGAAAGGCACCGATTTCAATTTTTGCAAACGCATGAGTTACTCGGGTTCGGCTGATCCATATTATTACTTTATATACAATATTAATGGCGTTCCTCTAGCGATAAATTACGATTCTATATACATGTACACGTAAAAAAAAACATTGAGAAAGATTTACTGTTTGATTTAGTTTGAAATATAGACCGAAGCTTTGTAGTTTCTTTGAACGAGGTATAGTGTTATATTATTTCATAACAGAAACGTTAGAAAATTAAAAAATTAAAAAAGCAGGCAGAAATGGTTTCACACTGATCATGATAACTTCCGTCTTTGACCACTTTCACTCCAGCCACGGAAGTCAGTAGTCCTTGGTTCTAATGCCTTCCTTTGGGCAGGTTTTGTAATCATTTGCAGCTAGACAGTAGAGTGAATCAAACCAAAAAGCATAAAAAATCTAAGATCAAGACGGCCAAAAGGCAGAAAACAAAGCCACTGATGCTAGCGCAATACAACCTAACAGAGGGCAACAATCATAAGTTATAATACATATAGACAGATTTAATAAGATTTGCTTTAGTCATTTTCTAATTAAAGCTGTTAGATATTTCAAGAAGGAAACATGTAAGAAATTTTAGATAATAGTAATACATGTAGGCCTATATATAGGACCTATCATATTCAAAATAACTCTAGGCTCATCTAACCACTGTACACCAAGAATGAATGGAATGAAATGGGGTTTAACGTCCTACTGTTCTGCTCCTAAACTGGGCTAATGAAGACAGGCATACGCCATACAGTGTGCTATGAGGGAAATTTTGCCTGGGCAGCGTCGCTACAACCTACTCTTATATCGAATTCCAACTGCCAAGGGATCTTTTACGTGCATGCCAATGTGTACACGGGACCTCGGATTTTTGTCCCATCTGATAAGGGGAAACCACGCCTGAAAATCTGGATGAACTATCTCGGCCAATGCAGGGATCGAACACCCGACCTCCAGGCTAGCGAGCCAGCGTCTTACCCACTTAGCCATCGTGATCCCCCACACTCCACTGAACACCAAATGAATAGATCAAAGCACATGTGATATTAAAATTTTTTACATTTTGTACAATCTGATTAAGATACAGATCTATATTTCGTTTTGTTTTTTTATACTTTCGATGGCCTCTACTACATGGGGGGTTGGATGGCTGAATGATTAGCATGCGCGTGCTGTATCATAAAGTCTGTCATTGAGTCAACTGGTGTGGTTTCAAATCCCCAGTTGTACATGGCAAGGAGTAGGGTCACCTGTCCAACCTCGTGGCTTTTCTTCAGGGCCTCCGGTTTCCTCCCACTGCTAAAGACCCCTATGCGCAAGCGAATTATGTAAATAAAATTAAACCATGTGTTAGTCCCAAAATGACCTAGTTTGTGTCGAGTGGACGTTAAACTCCATTTCTCTCTCTCTCTCTCCTCTACTACATGAAGATCTGACCGGTTGTACTGGAAGGTCGTGTCAGGTTTCGTACATGCGGCTTTTGACCTATGATGCCAGACATTAATTAACCAATCACCTTTGACGTTTCTAGTGGTTTACCCACAGTTCCTTGAATCAAATGCCAAGAACTGGCCGTAACAGACCGTTTCATTGGCTAATCCCTCACTTTACTTAGACCGTGGGTTATATAACAACTCTTCCAGATCCAAGTGTTGTGAAGACAAATAAAACAAAATTTTGAACTATAAAAAAACAAAACGAAATAGTGTTTTAATCAGATTGCATTTTGTACAATCAAATTATAATTGTAAAGTTTGCATGTATCATTTATTGGATATTGTAATTTTCATATTTTTCAGGAGAATTAAGACAAGTTAGTTTTTATTACTGGTACAAACAAAATAATGGAAGAAAACGAAGAAGGTTCCCATCAATGTGCTGTTTGTGAAGAGGTATTTCAAAATTATGATCAACTCGAGAAACATTGCAAAGTTCATGTTAAAGTGGAGAATGTAAATAAAAAATTTGAAACTGCTGAGGAGTCATCTTCCGAAATGAATAACTGTAGTAAAGGGAGTGAAGTAACGTTTGATATAGGCCCTACAGAAAACCAAATTATAGAGCAAGCAACAGATACACGAGCTGGTATCAAAGCGGAAGTCGAACAGAATGCGGAAACAATGGATGAATCAGAGGAAAATCCAGATGAAACCCACCAGAAACGTGCAGAAACTTTCAACAAAGAGATGGTTAAAATCCATGAATGTGACATTTGTGGAAAATCTTTCCTCAAAAGAGGTTATTTAACGACTCACAGAAAAATCCACACAGAGGAACGTAAATTTAAATGTCACCTTTGTGAAAAAGTTTTCAATGTCAATGGTAATCTACAAAAACACCTGATTATTCATTCAGGAACTCGTCCGTACACATGCGAATTTTGTGGTAAATCCTTCAGTGCGAATTCCACGTTACAAAAACACACCAGAACCCACACGGGTGAAAGACCATTTAAGTGTAACTACTGCAACGCTGCGTTTAAAGAATCGGGGAGTTTGTTCAAACACACGAGAATCCACACGGGAGAGAAGCCATATAAATGCGAAATTTGTTTCAAATCTTTCGGTTACAGTTTTAGTTTACAAAAACACATGCGAAGTCATTCGGGAGAAAGACCCTACTGTTGTGATATCTGCAATAAGGCGTTTAGTTGTAATGGTGGATTGCAAAGACATCTACGCACTCACACGGGTGAAAAACCCTTTAAGTGTAATGTTTGTGGTAAATATTTTACACAGAGAAGTGATTTAATAACTCATGATAGAATTCATACCGGTAAAAAACCTTATAAATGTGCTGTCTGTTCCAAAGCGTTTAATCAGAGTAGTAATCTGAAAGCACATAAATGTGGCAGTTCTCAGACTGAATAAAACTGGAAACAGGAAAAAGGGTACTGAACCCGAAACGTTGAATTATTAAACAATCCTTTAACTCTACAAGTCTGTTCGTGTACTCTGTTATGTGGCAGTTCTCAGACTGAATAAAACTGGAAACAGGAAAAAGGGTACTGAACCCGAAACGTTGAATTATTAAACAATCCTTTAACTCTACAAGTCTGTTCGTGTACTCTGTTATGTGGCAGTTCTCAGACTTAATAAAACTGGAAACAGGAAAAAGGGTACTGAACCCGAAACGTTGAATTATTAAACAATCCTTTAACTCTACAAGTCTGTTCGTGTACTCTGTTTGGCGGGGATTCTTTAATTTTATTCTACTGAATAAAACTCTTAGGCCTGAAAAGAATCTGTGAGGTTTCTCCTTCGCATATGATTCTTAATTTATTCAATTTTATTTTAAATGTTTGATGTAATACCTAGATTCAGGAGTGTTTATATTATAAGGAGTAAAACAAAATTACGTTGTGAGGAAGGTCTCAGAAACAGATTCTGGTACCCAAGTTTTACTGTCTATGCAATGGTTGTTTTTTTTAATTATTATTTTATTATTTATTATAAATTTTAATGAACTATGGTATGTTGTTTTACCAGTACAGGTACATGTAAGTACATGTTTTACCAGTACCGGTAATTACATGTATGTTTCCAAATCCAGCTATCGGGTTGATTTAATTTAAATACATAATTTTGGATTAAATTAGAACTGAAACATTCACGTGCTGGTGTAAATGAGACATAATGCTTGTGTACATGTAAATCTATTACTGTAAAGAGTACAGTTTATTTCTGTATTAAATGACACAATTGGAATTAAACATGTCCAACTAAAAGATATACATGTTGAAAATTAATACAATCAAAGTTACAACATTGGTTAAATTAAGCATCCTGAGCTATCTGGGATTGTTTGTTTAAACATACATGTACATTATGCAAGAGTTAATTCTGCCTATTGCAGGTCTTTCTTTAGGCCTGAAATGTTATAATTAGACATTTATTAACATGAAAAGACTGTAATCAACTCTCGATGCCATCTTATGTGTCAGATTTTCATTGGATTTGAATCCGATCTGCTGCTCAACACTTATTGATGAATAAATCCAAAAATGGATAATCAAGACTATGTTTTTTACCCATACCGACATTAGTAAGAAGCTAGGCCTAAAATTCAATCGCTAATATCTCTGTTCAATATGGAGGAATTTTCAGCATATTCTATTTAAATTATCTAGTTTTTAACTATTATAGTGAGAACAGCCAGCTTTTTATCTGATCTTCCATAATTCCCCTTTAATTATTGACATGAGATCAAATAGCAGTACCTATAGAATTTCTATACCATGTTACACATGGGATAATGGTTGTTTCGGCAATATGTACATAGATGCAGTTCACTTTAGTAACCCATCAAATTTAATGTGGTCGGTACTGTAGCTTTGTTAAAAATGATTGACAAAGCATTCATACATGTAAGAATTGCACATGATACCTCTTACCATACAACACATAACTTTATGGAAGCGCACATGCATGTGTAATTGAAAATATTCGATTGAATTATCCAAATCCCGCAAAAGCGTCAATAGTGTAAACGTGAAAATTATAAGTGAAATGAAATGTGGTTTAACGTCGTCGTCCCTACTTTTCTGCACCGACCGGGCTAATGAAGACTAGCATACGCCATGCAGTGTGCTGTGAGGGAAATATTGCCTGGACAAAAACTTACTCTAATTTCTGGGGGGGTTGGTTGGCCGAATGGTTAGCACGCACGCGCTGTATCATATGGTCTGTCATTGAGTCAACTGGCGGGGTTTCGATTCCCCGGTTGTACGTGACAAGGAGTAGGGTCGCCTGTCCAACCTCGTGGGTTTTCTACGGGTCCTCCGGTTTCCTCCCACTGCTAAAGACCCCTACGTGCAAGCGAATTGTTGAAATAGGGTTGAAGCATGTGTTAGTCCCGGGGTGACCTGGTTTGTGTCGAGTGGACGTTAAACCCCATTTCTCTCTGTCTCTTATTTCTGGGAGCCACTGTGGTTAAGTGGGTAAAATGCTGGCTCGCTAGCCTGGAGGTCCCTGCATTGACCGAGAAAATCATATGGTAATTCATATTTCTTTACAAGTTCATCGGGATATTTCAATGTGGTTTTTCCCTGTTAGTGGTGCAGGACGGAAGGCCTGACAAGGACAATTGTCTAGTCCTTCGGATGGAATGAAAAAAGGATCCCTTGAAAGTTAGAATTCGATATATGAGTAGGTCATAATCTCACTGCCCAAGCAAAATTTCAAATTTCGACTATCAAGTGTTCTTTTATGTGTCAGCGGGACTGCGTTTTTTTGTCTCATCCGAGATGTAAACAGGCCTAGCCCTAATCCCAACCATAACCCTTACCCTGGATCTAGCCCCAGTGCTTATGTCAACAATCACGTGCCCTAACCTTATTTATATCTCAGTGACCTTGACAAAAATTGAGCTGGCCTTAACAAATAGATTTAGCCTTGAAAAGTGGTGTTTATGAGAGTCATTAAGCTCAGTATTTTTCATTTGACAAAATAAAAACCTCTCTCCCACATCAGATTTCTAGGAAGGTTGGTCTCAGAGAGAGAGAGAGAGAAAAATGGGGTTTAACGTCCACTCGACACAAACTAGGTCATTTCGGGACTAACATATGGTTAAATTTTATTTCAATAATTCGCTTGCGCATAGGGGTCTTTAGCTGTGGGAGGAAACCGGAGGACCCGGAGAAAACCCACAAGGTTGGACAGGCGACCCTACTCCTTGTCACGTACAACCGGGGAATCGAAACCCCACCAGTTGACTCAATGACGGACCGTATGATACAGCGCAGCGTGCACGTGCTAACCATTCGGCCATCCAACCCCCCTGGTTGGTCTCAGAACCAGAATATTGTTTTTCTGTATGGTATAAGTGATATAAAGATGGTAAGAGTACACAGCCTCCTGCTTAATACCTTACAGTTCTAACTTGGATGCCAGGAAATTAATCTACATTCATGGATGGTAAACTCGGTCGTGGGGAAGGGGGGGTAATGGCCACCAGCAACTAGAGCCATCTGTTTCAGGTCTTCAATAAAATCAAATAATTTCAGCCAAAACCTTTATTGCAGTCCTTTATAAAGAATTTAATATCAATGATTAGAGAGAATAATACTATATATAAACCAACATCACCTGGCCCCGAGTTCACAAAGCATTTTCAGACTAAAGTTAAGAATTTACGCAAAATTGTCCGCCTTAATTAAACTAAAATATAGCCCATTATAAAACTTTTGTTAATTTAATGTATCAAATACATCAATAAGAAACTTTGTGCAATGTTTTGTGTTTTTGGATGAAAGATATTTCTCATAAACAGTGATTGAAAGTTGAGTAAATTCTTAACTTGAGTCTGAGAACGCTTTGTAAACTCAGGGCTAGCTTTCGGGTATTCAATAACATCAATTTGTTTCAGCTAAAAACTTTATTGCAGGCTTTTAAGAACAAAATTTAATATCAATGATTGAAGAGCATAATACTATAATAAAGTTACAATATATAATCTATAAGCTAGAATCACCAGCTTTTGGTTCTTCAATAAAAATTACAATATCGATGATAAGATAGCATAATACTATAATCAAATTATTAGGATATATAATCTATAAGGTGGATTTCCAAAATTAAAGGGCCGATCTTGATTATATTGTGGAGAATAAAACTGCTAAATTCTTAAAAACCTCTACGTTAGGGCTGAGCATCTAAATAAACATGATACGTTTTCATACAACTTAAACCTGCCAGTCTTCATTCCGAAATGGAGACCGGCGTCCCAAGCTGTATTATATGGTGTCTGGATAAAACCAGACTTTTATTTTTGAAAATAACGTGTAGGCAAAATTTACAGTTCGTTGTCTAGTGAATATTCACTGCTGATCAGTGTGGGGTGTTCATAGCATTACCAGTCTGATTTCATATGGCCGATAGTATAGTTACCTCCCTTGAAATTTGAAATTTTGAGTCAAGGTAAATACACCATTCCTCTATATTTTGGCATTTCAATTTCATACGTACACAAACTTTTATTTCTGAGACTCTGTTAAAATCGAGATGGTCCCTTTAAATTCGTCAACAAAATCAAATAGTTTCAGCTACAAACTTTATTGCAGTCCTTTTTAAAAATGTCAATAATACTATTAAAGGGGTAGAACCACGATTTTCAACAAAGTTTCCATAAATTTACAAATATATATTAATAAATAATCCCCTTTGTAACACAAGCAAAAATTATTTTTTCGCTTACAAAAACTTTTTTGCTTTTAGTTACAAAGGGGATTATATGTGAATGTATATTTAGGATTTATGGAACCTTGTTGAAAAACGTTGATCTTCCCCTTTAATAAGAACTCTCATGACTGAGAGGAACTAAGATGTGCCTTAGTAAAGTTGGATTCTTATAAATCTTCTACTACGACTTTTAAATGTCAACAAAAATAAAAAAATAACATTAATATGTAATAACATTAAGATATACTACAATATAACAGCTGTAGGCCACTAACATTAAGATATACTACAATATAATAGTTGTAGGCTTATAACATTAAGATATACTAATTAAGATATACAATATAACAGATGTAGGCCAGTAACATTAAGATATACTACAATATAACAGTTGTAGGCTAATAACAAGTAAGATATACTAATTAAGATGTACTACAATATAACAGTTGTAGGCTAATAACAATATAACATTAAGATATACTAATTAAGATATACAATATAACAGCTGTAGTCTAATAACATTAAGATGTACTACAATATAACAGTTGTAGGCTAATAACAAGTAAGTAAGTCTATATATGTAAGGATTGTCATCAAATATTTATTAAAAATAACATGATTAAACCAGACTAACAAAAGTTACACTAAACATTTTATTCTACAACAGTGATTCTCAAGCGGTGTGCTGCAAAATTTTGAACGGCACACTAAGAAAATACAAAAAAACCCATGTGATCCCAACTGAGTATTCACTGTTGTCTACTAGTAAGTTCATAGCTATGTTTTTCTTATTTAGTTTGAGTCATTTTATGTGTCTATGACTAGTCTCTGTCTACGGTTGTATGCTGTTTGAGTTACCATGTTTTTATTTTGCCAAATTCAAATATTTTTCATATTTATTTAGCCAGGTGTGCTGCTATTATATTCATGTGTCCCCAGGTGTGCCGTTGACAAAAAAAGGTTGAGAATCACTCATCTACAAAATTAATGAGCTCACATATACAAAACTTAATGTAAAACTGGCGCGTGGGATGTAAGTGAAGATAACTGAGCCAAATTATTAGTTCGTAACTTTTTGTTCATATTTATTCGAGAAACAGGATTTATCTAGACTGCTCGACATGAAGACATAATCTATTGCTCTCCAATTAATACATATCTTAATATTCTCCTGGGGTGGGGGGCAAACATTTCCAAAAATATTTATTGTTGACAAAGTCGAATTTTAGTACATCAGTAAACGAAAAACAAAATAAAAATAAGAACAACCTTTTTTAAATCTCCCCTGATAGTATCATCAAGTAGTCACCTAAATATCAAAGGTGTTCATGAACATAATTTCGGTATAATTCTTATTTCAAGTTTTTCAAGTCTTGGATACCCCAACCGGAGAGATCCTAGATATGACACCATGCAGTATACTATTAAATAAAAGTTGTATTTAAAATAAAATGGTTAGAAAATAAAAATATAGAGATATGTATAGTGGAGATACAGACAAGAGAGGTAATAACTGAAACAATGTCAATACATTTCTTTAAATCACATCTAGAAGTACAATTAAAGATACATTAAGGGAAATTAGATAGAGCTGGCAGTTCTCACTATAATAGTTAAAAACTACATAATGTAAAGGAAATTGATCCACTCTGAACCGAGAATTTAGCGATTTGAATTTTCAGCCTAACCTCGATTATCATTACTAAAGTTGGTACGATAAAAAACATAGTCTCGATTATCCATTTCATGACTAAATCATGAATGAAAGTTGAGCAGCAAATCGGATCCTAATCCAA